TAAGTTCAAATTTAATATTAATTTAAAAAATATGTTTTGGTAATTTTCACCTTTTTTATTACAAAAAGCCTATAAAAATATTTTAAATACTATTTATTTAATTTAATAAATTAATATTTTAATAAATAATTAATATTTTATAAATTAATATAATGCAAATATAAAAAATATCTTAAAATCTTATTTTTTATACATTTTAAAAAATTTTTTATAAATATTTATTTCTTTTACTAATATTACTAATTATAATTTTTTATATTTTTATAAATATTTTTTATAAAATAATAAATTTTAAAATAGTCTATTTAAAATTCTAAAATTTATAATATATTATAAATTAAACAATATTTTTTTATTATACATTTTTATTTAAATACTAATAAAATTTCAAATTATAACCTATAAAAAATAAAATAATATTATAAATTTAACCTATAAAATTAATATAAAATTCATTTTAATTATATTATATTGTAATTAAAATTAAATATAATATTTATTTATAATAATTAAAAGTTTATTTGTATACATTTTATTTCTTTTAAAAAAAAAAATTTTTTTTTTTCTAATTATTATATTTATTTTAATATTATAAAAATACATTTTAAATTAAATATTAAAAAAAAACTATTCTGTAATAAAATTTGCATAAATATAATCTTGAATATATATAAATACTAATAAAAATACATATAAATATCTGTTTATAGTCAGGTTATAAATTTTATCTGAATAATAAAATAACTATTAAATATTAAATAAAGAAAATTACTTTATAATAATTTACATAAAAAAATTTATTTTATTTTTATTTAATTTTTAGCAAATATGACTTTTGTTATTTTATTTTATAAAATAAAAGATATTACATAAATAGGGACACGCATTCCTAGAAATTGAGGGCATTACAGTTTTCACATTTTTAGGATGTCGATCATAGATAATCAATGCAAAATAACTTTTTTTTTTTTTATATTCAAATTAATTATTTTCTGATATTAGAAATTCTACTATTATTACTTTATTAATGTGCTATGCATTACTAATAATTTTAAACTACATCTTTAAAATTTAATATAGTAAAGAATTTAGTATTTTAATTTGTGTAAACAATCAGAGAATTTGGTAATCTTTATTAAGCGTCGCTGTCCAAATAAGAATTGAAACAAGTAATTAATTTTAAATCGAAAGGTGTTTAAAAGATAATAGAATAATGTTATCTTACCTTCATCGTTAATTTGTAAACTATCTAAAGCTATAAATCAAAAAGTAAAAAGAAAAAGTTTTTAACGTATGGAATTCTTTTTTTTTTTTAAAAAAAAAAAGACGTCTTATCTGACTTGGAAGCATTTACAGGCTTCAGAAGATCCTTAAAATTTAGTGATCTACTAGTGTAAATTGCTTGAGAATGCGTTTGAGTAATTTTAAACTGATTATCATTTGAATTGCAATTTAATTTATCTACTCTAACACTTATATACTTTTGCATTTGAATTTGAATATCACTATTTGTTTGATGTCTTTCGATGTCTAATTTATGTAGGGTTTGATATAATTCTTTAGCAGTTAGTCGATTTTCTACCCTAGTATGCCAACATCTTTTAATTAAATTTGTGAGAGGTCTTGGGGTATCTTTGAAAATTTTTGGTCTAAGTCCTAAATATATTCTATTAGCCAATAGATAATCATAAGACGTATCAGCGTAAGGGATTTCTTTTGAAAAATATTCGTTCATAATTATTCCAAGTGAATAAATATCTGATGATTTCGTATATTGATGACCTCTTAAAACTTCCAGATTAATATAAAGTAAAACTCCATAAATTCCTTCTTTATTTGAAGGATGATTAACTGGTTGACACATTCTTAAATCACTAATATAAGAAGTTCTAAAGGCTGTTAACAGGATATTACCTGGGTGCAAGTCTTTATGAATCTTATCCGCGTTATAAATATCAATGAGACCTTTCGCGATGTAAGATAAATCAATGATCTTACTCTCATAAACGATGTTTTCAGGTTTATGTAAAAAATTATGCAAACTTCCATTCTCGCAATACCTCAAGACTATCATATAATTTTTAGTATTAGGTTCCTGAGTTATTCCAAAAATATTGAATTATATAGTAAATATAAATCTGGAGATGAGATTTGATCTATTGAAAAAAAAAAATATATTAATGATACCAAAGATTAACAAAAAAGCAATGAATGGATTTTCAAATTTTGATTACCTTATTTAAAAACTGTTTGCTTATGTCACGAAAATCATTTAAACTTTTTAATGCAACCATTTTACCACCATTTCTATTTTATTTTTGATTTTCAATATCCCAAGATTTAATATTCCCATCAGGCCAGTACGCTGAATAAACTTTGAAAAATCCTCCTTTGGTAAGATAAGTAACCATTTGAAACCTTTCGAATGGTATCCATTCAATACATTTGAAAGAATACACAGCATTAAGTTGAGATTCCTTTATGAATTCATTGATATTTTCATTTCCACTGGACCATTGACCAAAGTTGCTTTTAAATCTTTTTGCGTTACAAGTTTGACACCAGTGACAACTTGTGCCCAGTCTAAAACATTCACCACATAATCCATACACGTCCTTTCTTGTCGTCAAGTCTTCTATGTATAATTTCTTTCGTATATCAGCCTCATTGGAATTATCTGACCTGCCAGACGAATCATTAGAAGAAATTGTAACATGTTCCTTTCAAATCATTAATGAAGAGGAGATTAATCAAAGGTAATTCATTTAAAAACCTAAAGGGAAATCATTTATATTTTTACCTGATAATCGTAAGTCAACCCTTTCCATAAATCCTTGGCGCTATTATTTATCGCATTAGGATGATTGACATTTGTAATGCTGCTTAAAAAGAAAATTTTAGACAGAAGGACTAATCTGAATATGTCTTGAAAACGATTTATAAAGAATGACAGCATAGCATGGTCTGACAACAATGAAAAATCAGCGACCTTTTTATCTGAAAATGAATCAGAGTTCAGAACTTTGAAATAAAACCATATATAGAAACATGCGTCTTGTAAAACAAACCAACTCTAGAGAAGGACTCATCTTGTAATTTCTGCGGATTGTAACTGTCAAATAATTTGGAGATCATTCATTAATTGGTATAAAAAAGTGACGTGTCACAAGTCATAATCAAATCTTATCAATCTGTTTTGAAACCATTAATGCTATAAAACATTCCAAAGTTAGGTTATTTTGAAAGCATTGAAAGGATGACCAGTAAAATCAAGGTAATGCCAAGCCCTTAAAAAGGAATTACAATTTGTCAATGGAATTACTATTAATAATTTAATTTTAACAATGGAATTCCCTACAACAAAGTTAAAATATTTTACACATTTGCCATTGCCATTGTTAAAGCCGGCTGAAATCGCCAAACCACATATATTTATAGGTATAATAACATCGGGGTTTGTATGAAATATCACCTTATATGGTTAGGATTATATTGGTTTTAGTTAGGTTAGGTAGGTTAGGTCCATTCAAAGAGGTCGATATTTAGGATTTCACTTAACTTCAACAATCTTTTGTTCAACAACAAGTTATCAACCAACGGTCTTCCTTATGAGTCGTTTGAAATTTTTTTTTTTTTTTGGAATAAAATTTATTAAAATCATCAATTCACGTCACTTTGCAATTTTTACTTGTGTGGATGCTATATAACATTATTAAATTCAAATAATTAAATCGCGGTCCGTTTCTAAGAAATTTGTGAGAAAAGAATTTTTTTTTTTTTACGTCAATCGTCTAATATCTAATTTAATCGTTGCCGAAAGTTGAACCCGTCTTCTTCAAATTGTTTGGGATTTTGACAAGGTGTTTGTTGCTTTAGTAGTTTGTTTCCTTTCTGGTTACTAGCTCATAACCTACTGTTCGTTTCCTCAGTACGTTCATTCCCTACCTTCCCTATGTCAGTGCCGTAAAGATAAAGATAAGGAAGGCGTCTTTTTGAAAATCTTCTTTTACGACATCGTTCTTTTATTCACTCCCCAATTTATTTATTTATTTGATTAATCTTATGATGAATAGAGCTGATTTGGCGAGGTGATAACTATGAGGAAATTTTGAAGGAAATTATTTTTAATATGCATGAGAAAAATCTACCAAATGATAAAAATTATTATTAAAAATTTATTTATGGAATTAAACCGTCTTCGTTGGTTTGAGTGATTGATATGTCATATGTTGGCTCATCTAAAAAAAATACCATAAAAGGAAATCTCTATATAATCTAAAAAATAATAGGGTTCGTCACAAAATCAATTTTTTTTTTTAGAGTTGTTGTCGTGGGAACAAAAGGAAGAAACTTGATTCTTTTGAAACGCGTAATAAATGGAAACCTTTACAATAGAAAAAGGTGGAAAAAAATAAAAAAAAATGAGTTAATGCTAAATATGAACTTACTTTGGCCTAAAAATCATATTTGGCATATAAAAGTAAAATTGATTTTTTCGGCAGTTTCCCCTTTCAATTGCAAACGTCCCAAATGATCGTAGATTAAAATCATATGAATTTACGATTGATACAATGATACAATTACCCTTATTAATATTCTTTGATGAGAAAGCAATACAACTTACCCCAACAGAATTTCACTTTCACGTGATATATTTTGTGGCGCATTCGAAAAATTCATTGTTATTAAAATAATAATTTTATTACAATATTGTATTACTCTTATTTGTATTAGAGTTTCCTTGTAAACAAAATAAAATTCAATATTCGAAAATACATAATTGATATTGAAATATTGAAATCGATTAATTCGGATATTTCGATTATCAATCATTTCGATCGATATTATTTATTTTTTATTTATTTTTTTTAATTTAATATTTTTTAAAATAAAAAAAAAAAAAAATCGGTCGATGAATACGAAAGTACGTATGTAAAAAAAAATAAAAAAATAAAAAATGAAAAATAAAAATAAAAAAGTATAAATATATATATTCAACTTCGGATATCCGAAATGATTGTGGCTCGTCGATAACCCATTTCATATTAGCAACTGCCTTTTATTCTTCAAGAAAATTGAGCAATTTAGTTGTTGAATCTATTAATTCATTATAAAGTGCAATACAATCTTCTGTATCTTGCACAATAATTTCATTTCTGCGTTATTATTATTATATATGCTAAGTGAATTTATCTGCATATCAGATAAAAATGAGGTGTCGATTTCTTAGAAAAATTCAGGTGTTATGGGCCCTTTTTGTTGAATCCAAATGTTTACAATACAAGATCGGTTAGTTAAATAATGACATTCACATATCCATTGATTTACATTCGTCAGGTAATGCGTTGATAATCTTTTCCATTCAGATTTTAGTTGTTTTATCCACTCTAATTTTTCTCTTCCAGATTAAATTTGTAGCAACTTTCGCTCCTGATGAATAACTACTTAGTCATTATAATATACACTACAAGGCCGGAAAAATTATAAAGAAATCCCGTTTTATAACTTTCCAGTGGCTTCTACGAACATAGTAGTTTTGAGATTTGAAATTTTTTCTTCATAAACAGATCGGGCCCATAACGGCCATCTTTCGTCATTATACCATTCACACCATAAATAACACCAAAGTGAGATCAAAGAATTTTTTTTACAAAATTCATACATTTCTTGAACTGCTGGTGAAGATGTTTTCCATTATTCTCCAAACAGTATTACGATGTTCTTTTGGGCAAAATTTTTCTGATTGTATAATATTGTTGAATGGAAATTGAATATCAAATCTATAAAGGATTAAAAGAAGAATTTCTAGATGCTTTATTACTTTTTAATCGTGTCATTACTGCTTTTTTTATATGCCATTTGCATAATTGAATTTTTATTTCCTTTCAAGTAAACTGGGCAGCATTTATCTGCGCAAATTCTTTATCAGTGAGAAGGAATTAGGGTTGCAATCCCATATTACACAATTTAGTAAAAAATTTTTGAATAATTGTAAGACGTATTCCCTCACCGCAATCTTCATTATTTTCTAAGAATAGATATGCTAATGAAAATCCTGTGCCGTTCATTTCTGCATGAAGATCATACAATTGTTACTGTATTTGTATTTCTTTTAAATTAATAAATAATAAAATTATTTATTTATTTTAATATTAAATAACATATTTGATATACATATTTTAAATTGTTAAAGATAAATATTTACTTACAAATGGCATCAATACCATATTCATAGATTTCAATTTCCATTTGTATAAAATCCTGTTGCAATTGCTAAAGCATAAGCAGGCTGTGTTTCTTTTAAATTATTTAATTTTAAGCAATAGTTTTATCAATTCAAATGAATTTTCATGACATTTATATCTTTCTTATCCCAATTGTGTTCACTAAAAATGAACCTGTTTTTGCCAAAATGATATATCTAATCCTTTATCAATTAGTTGTATATAGAAATATTATCTTTAATAAATCTTTAATATTTTGAGATATAATAGCAATATTTGGCTATACATATAAAAATCATAACATAAAATTGCTTTTACTATTTTTGTTACTTCATTAATAACAATTTTAATAATTTCATTACAATTAAACCTTCTATAGATGATGTATCCTGATACTTTGAAGGATCATTAGATTTTTTTAACTTTTTCTAGTACTTTCTATTGTAAACAAAAATACTAATAATTTGTAATTTATCTTTTTATATAAGTGTAATGATAGCTTTTGGATAATTATATAAATACAAAAATAATTCTATATAAAAAAATTATAAAATAAAAGTGTAAATTTATTTACATCTTCAATAAATTCAATTAATTTATCTGCTACTTCTCTTGCTGATTTATAAAAGAATAAAATATCTATTTTATATTGACATTTAAATGGTAAATTATTTTTCTTATTACTATTCAAAATACATTAAAAAAGTTGTAAAAATTGCATAATGTAATTACTAAAGTCTTCTAGTTCAACAATTTCTAAATTCTTTCTTCTCATTTTCTGTTTTTTCATTTTTATTTTCTACAATATTAACTACTCTTTTTATTACTTTTTAATGATATTTAATTGTTTTATTATAACATTTATTATAGGTATGAAAATGTTTTAAAATTTCTTTCTCTTTAACATTTATAAATTTATTTGCAATTTTCATAAGATCACATCTATTACAAAAAGAAGTTATTTCTAATATTGTTAAATTTTACAATAATATAATGTAACATAAAATTTTATAAATGTTTAATAATATAATAAATATTTCACTTTTCTACAATTTTATTAATTAAATTTTATGATGATCATTTTTGAAATATTACATAATTATTAATTTGATTAGTATAATCATTATAAAATTTACTAAAATAAAAAAGATAGTTTTTAACTATAAAAAAATATTTTTACTTTTTTTTATAATTTTTATATAAAAACTAGTTATTGTTCTATTGTAAAATTATGTATTAATAAATTCTTGAATTAAATCAAAAATATAAAAATATCAAATATAGAAAGTAAGCTATTAAAATTACATTACAGATCATATGATTTACTATATTTATAACTCAATTTTAATAGCAAACCTCCCATATATCTATTATATATTTTTTTATAATAATCATAAAATTTTAAAAAAAAAAAAGTAGAAAATTAAAAAGGATTTTACAACATTAAATTAAAAAGTAAAATTATAAATGCCAAATCACTATTTAATAATATTGTGATTACTGTATCAAAAATTTAAATATTTAGATTAAGAAAAAGATATAATATTTATGTATGATTTCATAACAAAATAATTATTCTATAAAAAAAGTGCTGTCTTTAATGTAAAATCTTATATATAAAAAATTATAATAAGATAATAAGATAAATAATAGTTTATTAGATGATGAGATATTACTATAAATTTTTCTTTAATATATCCTTGTAGATATATACATATTGGCTAATTTCAGAGATTTTCATAGTGAATATTAATTTTGATAACGGTAAATCTGAAGAAAAGAAAATTACTAATATTTCAAAGTAAATACTAATATTATATTAGATAGTTTTAATATTTTATTTTAATTTGATTATATAAATTCCA